TATATTTTTATTTATTTTCATGTGAGTGTACAGTAGGCAGTCCACAACAGGAGAGAGAAGTTCAGTGTCCAAATTGTAGGAGAAGGTTCACTGTATTTGGGCCCCAGGAATCAAGGTTCTTCAGGTTTGAGAAAGGTGCTAGAACATTGTCCTCAAGCCCACTATTTTATATACTAGCTAAAAATCTTAATTAATTAACTTTACATCCTGCTTCAGTTCCTCCTCCCTCTTTCCCAGTTTCTCCCTCCAACACTTCTGTTTCCATCTCTGAAACCACTCCTCATTCCTCCGTATTCAGAAAAGTGGCAGGCTGCCTATGGATATAGACAAAACATGACATATCAAGTTGTACTAAGACTAAGAACTTTGTCTTGTATTAATGCTGGGAAAAACAACACAGTAGGAGGATGGGGTGCCAAAAGCCAATAAAAGCCTCTATTCTCACTGCTAGGAGTCCTAAAAGAGGACCAAGCTACATAATTATAAAATACATGCAGGGTGCCTAGATCAGTCCCATGGAGGTTCATTGATTGTTAGTTCAGTCTGTGCAAGCAGTTATGAGCACACATTAGTTGAATCTGTGAGCTTCATTTTGGTGTCCTTGACTCTTCTGCTTTTTAGAATTCTTCCTCCCCATCTTCTGCATGATTGCCCAATGATCACCATGATGTTTGTCTGTGGATCTTCATCTGTTTCTATCAGTTGCTGGATGAAGCCCCTCTGATGAAAATTGGGCTAGGCATTAGTCTATGAGTATAGCAGAAGAGTATTAAGCATCATTAAATTGACATTTTTTTTTCTTCCAGTCATGTTTGGTTCTATCCTAGGGCTCTGAAACATCCACCCTTTGGGTCCTAGACTCCAGGCAATGTCAGAGCAGAGTTTACTCCTGGTGTGGGTTTTAGTGTAGATCAGTCACTGCTTGGCCATTCCCTCAATCTTTAGGTCACCCTTACCACAGCTGGACAGACTGTAGAGCAATAGACTGATATCCCAATCCAGCCATATTAAATCCTGCTTACTCATGGGAGGTGAACAAGTCAGACCATATATCCACTGTTGCTAGGAGACTTAGTTGGAGTCATCCTCATAGATTCTTTGGAGATTCCCTTGCACTAGTTTTTTTTTTTTTTTTTTAACTGATCTTGAAATACCCTCTCTTTCTAGTAGTCTCTTTTAGTACTAAACCTTCTACCTCCTCCCATCTGATCACTCATGTACCCATCCCTACCTGCTCTTGGCCAACTCACAAAATCTCAATTTCCTCTTCCCAGGTAGAGCCAGCAATTCACTTTGAAACATCCTTGTTACCTAGTCTCTCAGCATCTGTTGATTGTAGCTCAATTATCCTATCTTTTACAGACAATATCCAGTTAGGAGTGATGTAGCTCGATTAGGCTGTATTTTACAGCTAATATCCAGTTACGAGTAACTACATATAATATTTGTCTTTCTGGGTCTGGGTTACCTCACTCAGGATGACTTTTTTCTAGTTCCATCCATTTGCTTTCAGATTTCATGATGTCATTATTTTTAACAGCAGAGTAATACTCCATTGTGTAAATGGACCATATTTTCTTTACCCATTCTTCAACTGAGGTACATTTGGGTTGTTTGCAGGTCCTGTCTTTCACAAACAAAGCTGCTATTAACACAGCTGAGCAAGTATTCTTGAGGTATGATGGAGCACCATTTGATTATATGCCTCAAAATAGTGTAGCTGTGTCCTGTCGTAGACTGAGTCTCAATTTTCTGACAAACTTCCATAAAGTTTTAGCTGAGAAAAGACTTTTGGGATTTTATTTTAATTTCATGATGACTTTTTAAACATCTCTAATACGTGAGGAAACTATTGTGCCATTGTAGACATTGGCTTCAAACTTGGCATACCGAGTTCTTATGGTGTTTATAACCCTCCGTTACAATGCCTTTAATTTCTACATGACCTAATGAAGTAATATTTAACTCTTTATGTGTTTAATGTTTTTCATTATGTATAGAAAAATGAATCTCTTTATTACAAATATTGCTATTATGTATCTGCTTGTGTGAGCAAACATTCTTGGCAGGGTGTGCAAACTGAGTTGACTGAACAAATTTGGAAATTGCATGTCTCCTTCCACTATTTTGGTTCAGAAAAAAAGCTCAGAACATTAGAATGGTGGTTGGTGCTTTTAATCTTTGAGACATCCTACCAATCCCGAAGTATCATCTTTATGTTCTGTGCACTTGAATGTGTGAGTCCTCTGCTACTGTGAACATTTAGCATGTATTAGTAATGTCTCCTCCCTTCTATTACTGGAAACCTGTATAGAAAAGGTTTCCTTAGACTTGTTTCAGAATTGACTTATTTTTAAACAACACAAGATTTAAATATTACAAGCAATCACTTTTGATTCATAGAAGCTTTGATAAGATTTTCCTAGTAGTGCTTATCTGGGTGTTAATCTTGTTAACATAACCATATGAGTTACTCTGGGGAGATACTTTTGTTTGGCTTGTGTTTATCTCCAATGCACATGTTGCTGTTTCCTTAGTTCTCTGTTTTCCCCCCCCACAGCATTGTTAACAATATTTGTATTCATTAATATGTACCATAACCAATTTATTTAATCCTAGACATGCTAATTTGTTTATAACTGCATAAATCTAATATTGTCATCCTAACATTTTTCTCTCAAGTATCCTCTTTTTAATTTCAATTATAATTGCATTATATTTATGAGTACACTATATTTTAAATTATCAATATTTTAAGTATTGAAATACATAAAACTCTAATTCGAGTACTATAGAAACACCCTGCAAAAAAGAGACTGAGAAGGTTATACTGCAGATTTATAATGGATTTAGTATCCATTAGTGGAACAAACAGACAATCCATTAACACAAGGAATGATTCTCATAGTCTGCAAAATTGATTATAACTTGTATGGTATGGTCCTTACACACATTCTTATAATAACATAATAGACTGTGACATTTGAGAAAGGATTCTCACAAACTATCTTATAATAATAAGGTAGACTTCAACTTGTGTAATTTGTGCTATACATAGTCTGAAATGTACATGAGCATGTCAAACGAATTATCTTGTAGATGAAATTTGTGATTAAACTTAGAATATGTAATGCTTAAAAGAAACAGAGAGGGCTTCTTATATAATGCTAACATATGGCTTTTACTTGTTGGTTACATAAAATGCTGCATATAAATTCATAAACAGTATACGAATATTTATTTGCAGTATTCTATGGCTTTATTGTTTGTAATATCCTATATAATTTACTTAGTGTTTCTCTGATAGAACACCATGACCAAAACCAACCTTGGAAGGAAAGAATTTATTACACAATACAGGTTACAGTTCATTATGAAGGAACCAAGACATGAACTCAATCAAAAAGTGCAGACAGAAACTAAAGCACATACCATGGAGAGATGCTCCTTACTGGCTTGTTTTCCGTGGTTTATGCAGCTTGCTTTCTTATATAACCCATGGCCACTGGCCTATGTATGGCACCACTCTGAGTGAGCAGGTAGCTCTCATATCAATTAGTAAACAATAAAATATTTCATCGAATTGCTCACAGAATAACATGCTGGAAGTAGTTTCTCAACTGAGACTCTCTCCAGGTGACGAGTTTAGAACAATTTTTCAAAAATAACCAGCACAGTAGCATTTTATTCATCTTTGTATGATGTTATAACATGAAAAATATATCTTTAAGTCATTTTCAATAAAATATAGTTTGAAGGTATGCCAGCTGTGTGACAATGTTCCTCCTAAAAGTATATACTTTCTTATAAAACCCCAGTATCAGGAACGAGAAGCTTCTGTTTGAATTGTTTGTTAGAGAGTCCCAGAAACCCTAGCTAACATATGCTACTGCTATTGTTCTTGGTGCCTTCCAAAGAAAGAAGGTAAAATACAATTTCTGAAGATATCACACTCTTTGGACACAGGATTTGGATAAAATGATCTATACCTGGAAACCTCCTCACTCAGGACTAGTTCTTATAGTTTCATGGGGAGCTATGCAATCTGCAATTAGTGAATAGCAAACATAATCTTATTGTTCTGTCTGACCAGCAAACCAACTGAGCAACCAACCAACCAAACAAAACAAACCCCAAAAACAACAATAACAAAAAACAGCATGACAAGATATTCCAAAAATGGCAGTAGTGAACAAAAACTACAGTAGTGTCACTTGTATCCAGGGGAAATAAACAGTCACCCACTTCCCATTTGAACTTATGGCTTACTCTATAAGAGAAATTCATGTTTGACACTGAATGTTTTGTCAGCCACCTACAGATCATGAGGCTATGGATCCTAGTTGATAACCTACTATTGCCCAGCTATTACATCAGTAAAAGTTGTCACTAAATTCTAAATACTAAGTATGGGCACAGATAAGTGTATCTCTCACTCCTCTCCCCATCAAGGAAGCTTCTGTTTACAGCAGACAGAGACCATTACATAAAGCATAAATGGTTAAATTATAGAGATCAGCAGGCCATGGAGTGCTTGCCCCCAGCAAATATATTTACAGTACAACACTCAAATCAAAGGGACTTCACAAACATGGTGTAGAAAGATCATAAGAGCCAGAAGACTAGGACAATGTGAGAAAGTTTCTTAAAATAAACAAGATCATAAAATGAAGAGGAAGGCAATGGATTGGATCTGGGGTGAACCTCAGGGAAAAGTTATATATGGTCAATACACATTTTATGAAATTCTTTAAAAATACATCATTTTTTTTTTAAAAAGCTTATTTCATTGTCAGAATATAGTCCTAATAATTATGTAATTTACAAGAAGGCTTATGTGAGTGTAATATCCAGTTTATTGATTGAAGTATCCATGTAAAAAAATAAAACAAGAGACCAGATGTGCTTTCTCTCCACTTACCTTTCTATAGAACAAGAAAATTATTTTGCATGCATTGCCTTATGGAATCAGTCACAGATAACAGAAGCGGCTCAGAAATTTACCTTCCTTTGAGAAATACTTGATGACCCCAAACTTTCTGCAGGGCATTCTTCATCTCTTTGTTTCTCAGAGTGTAGATAAGAGGGTTGAACATGGGAGCTATTATGGTGTAGAAAAGAGCAAACACTTTGTCCTCTGGAAATGTGGTAGGCGGTCTGATGTAAATGAATAGTGCAGGTGCAAAAAACAAGACCACAACAGTTAAGTGGGAACTACAAGTAGACAGAGCTTTTCTTCGGCTCTCCACAGAATATGCCCTTATAGTATACAATATGAAAAAATAAGACAGCATCAAAACAACAAAAGTCACTAAAGCAATTAAGCCAGAGTTAGCAATGACTAAAAGACCTATTATGCGTGTGTTTGAACAGGCCAATTTCAACAAAGGATACACATCACAGAAATAGTGATCTATCTCATTTGGGCCACAAAATGGTAAGGATACGGTGAGAAGAAGCTGACTGGCTGAGTGCACAAATCCCCCTGTGCAACAAGCTATGATGATCATGTTACATCGATACCTGCTCATGATTATGCTGTAATGCAGTGGTTTGCAAATGGCCACATATCGGTCATAGGCCATCCCTGTGAGAATAAAGATTTCAATTCCCCCAAATAGATGAGTTGTAAAGAGTTGAATCATGCAATTATTATAGGAAATTATTTTTCTTTCTGCCAGTAAGTCAGTCATTAACTTAGGGGTCACTGTGGATGTGTAGCAAAGGTCAGAAAGTGAAAGATAGTTGAGAAAGAAATACATGGGTTGGTCAATGAGCTGAGTGCATGTGATAGAAACCATTATGAGTACATTGCCCATCCAAATAGCAATGTAGCAAAATAGAAAGAATACAAAGCAGAGGACTTCAGTGTTCTTATTTTGGGAAAGTCCCAACAGAATAAAAACTGAGATATTACTGCTTCTATCCATGGTTCAGTGTAGAGAGAAAATGCAAGTCACCTGAAATGACATAATTGAGTAATTTATGTTTAGAAGTTTCTTCTGACATTTTGCTGACCATATTCTTTCTGATGTGCTAAGTAGGTCTAATCTAATCTAAGTAGCCAAAAAAATCAGGTTGTAAAAGCTGATGTTCAGTTGCAATAGCTTTCAGGACTCTGAGAAAATATGACAGTTGTTTTCAGATAAATTTGAAATCAAATTGAAATAGTGTTCTATAATTGTCCAATGCAACCTTTTGTCCAAATCCATATACTATCTAGACAGTGAGAAACATATATAACTGTTGTTAACAGAGTAAGAAATTTCAGTTTATACTGTGCTCCTTTATTCTTTTATAATCTACCTTTACTTTACAACAACTTTATGTGATTCCCAATAGAATATAATATATAACCTGCTCTGATAATAGGTATAGCATTCACAGAATAATACAGTGAATATATTTCTGAATTCCAGTCATTTATTAAGATATTAGGAAGAACAATTTGGTACACTTAACACTGAAAAATGCAATAGTATTCAAGACATTACAATATTTTGAGCCTAGTGTCTTGTAATCTATTTCCCAATTGTGTTCCTTCACAAAAGATAAATTTAATTTTAACACATAGAAATATATCAAGAGTGTGACTCTCATTATCAGTCAATAATAAACATTAAAATTTGAAAGACTTGGCCACAAGAGCTATGGAAATTGTGGTATATAGTGCCTAGGACTAGTACTAGGTTGCTTGCATCATGGAAAAGGCAGACTCATTAACAGTTTGTACATTTAAATTTTCGCACTTCTAAATGAAACATCTTAAAAGTAATTCTTATCAAATAGTTTCAAAATGTGACTTTAAGCTGCATTTTCAAATTCTATATTACATTTAGATTTTCAATTAAATACTGTTTAAATTCCTACTACTATTTGATTTATTATTATTATTATTATTATTATTATTTGGATAAAACATGTTTTATTCAGGGAGAATTCACTTACACATTAAACAGGTAACCACCACAGATTCCCACTCTACGAATGTCACACAGGTGCTCCCTGTGCTCCCTGCAACCAAACCAGGAAGCAAGAGAGCAATCTGGGGTCTAGAACCACAGACCTAGCCTTCTGCTTCAAGTCCGTACCTGTGCTCATGCCCAATGGGCATGGTCAGTGCTACAGATGCTGGTGGGGTGCATATCTCACTACAATTCCCCTTTTAGTCTAAAGAAAAGATATGCAAGACTATATGTGAATATAGCAAATTTCAAGTATGCTCTAGGAGAAGGAATTGTCAGAACATACACACTTAAGACCTATTGCCAGTGATGCAACAAGAACATTTGCTTTTATTTGATATATTATTAAGTAATACTATCTTCACATTAAAAATTGTTTTTTATTAAACATTATGTTTTACATTGTTTCTCTTTCTCCAACTACTTTCAGGTTATTATCATCTCTCAATCAACACAGCTCCATTCACTTTCCCCCTCTTTAGAGAACAAACAGGCAAACAGACAAAACAAACAAATAACAAGCAAAGAAACCCGATTTTAAAAATAAAGAATGAAGAAATAAAAACACACACCACACACACAGCATAAAAACACTAAGTTGAACACTGTGATATATAAGTAAACTATAAGTAAGACAAGAAATGCCAAGCAAATCAATATGATGCAAACATTCTGCAAAAATACCACTGATCTTGCTTTTTATGATACTGAATATGAAGTGAAGACTTTAAGTTCTATAGTGAAATCCAAGAAGAGGATTAAAGGTACAAGGTTTTTTGAAGTGAGTTCTAATCTTTCTTCAAAGCAGATAATAGTAGTATTTTGCCATTAGAAAAAAAGTTATGTGTTTTAATTATTCTTAAAATAGATTAGTAATAAAAATTTTCACAAATAGAATCACACACTTTTGTGATTTGTATATCTGTATATCACATAAATATTTTACACACACAGAACAGATATATATATATATATATATATATATGTTACATATATTATTAAAGCTTATGGAATTCTCAGACACTATCAATCTGTTCCTTTTCACTCATTTATTAGGCATTTATATAAACTATATTGCTGGGACCTTAAGTTTCCTTGACTCAGAAGGCTAAAATTAGTTTTTTATATATTTTTATTTATAAATATTTTGAGATTACTACATTTCACCTCCTTGTCTTCTCTCCAAACAATTTTATATGCCCCTCTTTGCTACCCTTCAAAATTAACTGTTGTTGTATTGGTGCTTTAAGATTTTATTGGTAAGGATTTAAATATTCTTTATAATTTAGATACCTCCTTGTTTTACACAGTAAATCAACTGATTTCATATATGATCCTTTTGGATTTAAATTTAAAATGATGTTATTTGCTTTTTAAAAAAGCACTTAAAAGTTGAAATAAAGATGTATATCTTAATTTATTATTAGAGATTTGTTCTGAGCTTCAAACCTTCAAAATAGATAAAAAAGAGACTTGTTAAAATATTTTTGGAATGGCAGCATTGTGATATTAGTGCTGTTCCACTTAGAAAAGTAAATAAAAATAACTATAATCTTATCGTGGTAGATACTTATACATGGTAACAGCCAACATGTAGCCAACTATATTTTGAAAATAGAGTTTTTCTGTCCCTAGATCCTGAATTCAATACCAAACCCTTAATATGTTCTCTCCAAAGTCAATAAAAAGTAGAGAAAAACTGAATATTAATTCTGCATTGCCAAGTTTCAAAGTCTGTATTCATGTTTGAATTAGTCAAGCAAATTGATACATTTTTCTGAATTTCAATGTTTGCTTCATAGCCCATTATTTTAAATAGAAAACTTTCAATTAGAAAATAAAGCTATACACTAATTTGTAGTCTGCTCACAAATCATGAACTGAATCAGTTCCTAGACCCAAAGCTAGCGCTGGAAAGTCACAGGTACACAGTTCTTACAAGGTTTGGGGTAGCAATATATCTTACCTTCTATAGAATGATTGATTAGTGATTATTCTCAAGTATTGGTCATGTGAAAAATATAATGTGGGAGGAGAGAAATTTGAATTTTAGTCCAAATAATTTCACTTCTTAGATTCAGGGCTTTACATTTTTAGGTCATAAAATTAAGGAGGTAGAATGAATAGTCACTGAGTATTCTTCATGTACAAATTATTAACACAGAGGAAATATTGTTTCCAATATCACAAATTTATGAATGACATAAGAAATTGAAATTATTTACTTATATATATATATATGTCCTATTTTATCTTAAATATGTAATTTTGCTTTATAATAATGTCTGTCCCCTGTCAAGAAATTAGTCACATAACTATTTAAATTTTTCCTTACAACTTCTTCCTGGAAGGCTTCAGCACAAATGGCAATACTTATATTTTCCTTCCTATTTGACAAATCTTATGAATGAGAAAATACAAATTGAGTACCTATGTGTCAGCTATCAAATCAATAACCCTTTAATTATAGGAAGCTTTCCATTCTTGAGAGAAAGCATTTCAGACACAAAATACTATTTTTGTAGCAAAATCCATTATAACCTCTATAGAAACAATTTACTTCTAAGAATTTAACACTCAATTGTTAAGATATTCGGTTAGCATTATTTCTTAAAGGCAGATTTTAATTTCCTCTGAAGACAGTGCTAATGGAAATTTTATCATTCACATATGCTCCAGTTACCAACTCACCAGTTTAGCAGCATTCTTTGAGATCCAAAATGTCAGTGCAAATTCTGAAACAGAGTTATAAATGTTCCATAAAAATACTGTTTCCCATTCATGACAAAATTTTCATGATGGCTAGGCAATTTGCTGATTATGCAATTTGTGTTGCTTTTCCCTTCTTTGTAATACAGGAAGGAAACTGTAGCTATCATCATGCTGAGAACTAGCCTCAAGCAATTTACACAGTGCTTTTTTATTATGTTCTCTGGGGAGATGCTATATGTTCAAGTGTGTATTATAACTTTATTTTTAAAATTCTGGATCTGTAGTCCAGGGCATTGCTTGTGACAGGCAAGTGCTCTGATACAAAGTTGCTTCAGTGCCTTCTGTGTGCTAATACATTTCCAGTCAACTATAAAGAATAGATAGTGAATGTTAGAAATAATAGGTTAATCATATCCTGTGTAACTCATTTATAGATAGATTTTACTATGATTTTCTACAACAGATACACAGAAGATGCCTAACTCTACAATTATAGATATTTTGTGTACCAAGGTTAGTGTATCCTCCACAGCCTACTCTAATGTCATTTTACTTGAACTAAGCTTACTTGAATTTCCTTTGTGTATATATTATTCTCCAATAAATTGTATTAAGGTATCCAGAAAATATATTATTCTATGTATAATTCTACAGCTAGTGTATGTGAGAGACGTGGATAAAGACAGGTTTAAGACAATCTAAGCATTAGAAATATGTACACCAAACTATATACAAAACAAGAGGAGTGATGGCCTGACAAGAAAGTTCTGCAAATAGTCAGATAGAATAATCACAATTAATTGTAGTATTTCACTAAAATCTATAGATAAAAAAATAGTTTAGACTAATAAATAAATAAATGGAAAGATAAATAAAACCTTTATAAATTGTAATTCTAAAAATGTACTAAAATAAAAAACTTAAATAATATATAGCTGTATTTAGAAAAATGCAAATAAATCCAAAACTATCATTCTGAATAAAGTTCATTTCCATCAGGACCAAAGAAAAACTAAAACCAGGTACACTGAAACTGATAGAAGAGAAAGCAGGGAATAGCCTTCAATTCTTTGGAGCAAGAAAAATACTTTTGAATATAACACTGCTATCATAGCTCATCAATTAATAATTGTGATCTCATAAAACTGAGAAGCTTCTATATGGCAAAGGACAGACAGTGTCATTCAGACAGGCTATAGAATGGGAGAGAGAGCTAATATCCAAAAATATATAAAGAGCTAAAAAAGTGGGAA